CTTAGAAAGCTTGAAATAGAAATACCATACGATCCAGCAATCCCACTCCTAGGAATATATCCTAGAGCAATAAGAGCCATCACACGAATAGACATTTGCACACCCATGTTCATTGCAGCATTGTTCACAATAGCAAAAAGATGGAAACAACCTAGAAACCCATCAACAGATGAATGGATAAACTATGGTACATACACACAATGGAGTACTACATAAGAATAAAGAACAATGATAAATCTGTGAAGCATCTCACAACATGAATGAATCTGGATGGCATTATGCTGAGTGAAATAAGTCAATCACAAAAGGACAAATATTGTATGAGACCACTACTATAAAAATTCGTGAAAAGGTTTGCACACAGCAAGAAACAATCTTTGGTTACAAGGGAGGGGATGGGTGGGGATGGAAAAACACTAAATAGACAATAGATAAGTGGTTACTTTGGTGAAGGGTAAGACAGTACACAATACTGAGGAAACCAACACAACTTGTACAAGGAAAGGTAATGGAAGCTCCATAGACACATCCAAACTCCCTGAGGGACAGAATTGCTGGGCTGAGGGTGGTGGGGACAATGGTCTCAGGGAACATCTAGCTCAATTGGCACAACATAGTTTATAAAGAAAATGTTCTACATTCTAACTTTGGTGAGTAGTATCTGAGGTCATAAAAGCTTGTGAGCAACCATCTAAGATACTCCACTGGTGTCACCCCATCTGGAGCAAAGGAGAATGGAGAAAACCAAAGCCACAAGGGAAAGATTAGTCCAAAGAACTAATGAACCACAACTACCACAGCTTCCACCGGACTGAATCCAACATAACTAGATGGTACCCAGCTACCACCACTGACTGTTATGACAGGGATCACAATAGAGGGTCCCAGACAGAGCTGGAGAAAAAATGTAGAACAAAATTCTGACTCACAAAAAAAGACCAGACTTACTGGCCTGACAGAGACTGGAGAAACCCTGAGAGTATGGCCCTTGGACACGCTTTTAGCTCAGTAATGAAGTCACTCCTAAGGTTCACCCTTCAGCCAAAGATTAGACAGACCCATAAAACAAAATGGGATGAAAGGGGCACACCACTTCAGGGGCAAGGACTAGAAGGCAGGAGGGGACAGGAAAGCTGGTTATTGGGAACCCAAGGTCAAGTAGGGAGAGTGTTGACATGTCATTGGGTCGGTAACCAATGTCACAGAACAATATGTGTATAATTATTTAATGAGAAGCTAGTCTGTTTGTAAACCTTCATCTAAAGTACAGTAGTAAAAAATAATAAGCAAATAAAAATTAAATATAAGTAAATTAAAATCCTCCATTTAAAAATAAATAAATATGTTGTAAAAAGAAGAATTAACTAGGTTTTATGGCTGATGATGTTGTATAGCATTATCCATTCTTATTCTACTTCTTCACATTCTCATATTTGTAAATTTACAATATGCGTTGTTCACATTCAATTTTACTTACTAGTTGTAAAGATTTATAACATTAATTGAGAGAGCCCTTTTACGTTTTTATTGTATATATATACAGTGTTCTTAAAAACAACTTGGTAGCTAGATTAAAGAAATATTCACTTAAATAAAATTACTTCTCCTAATTTATAGAACTAAAAATGTATAATGAGTAAAAATATGAATAATAATAGAATTTATCCAGCATCCAAATACTGGAAAAACTTTACCACCCTAAATAGCTTTGACCCCAGTAGAAATAATGACACCTTCAGCCATAGTGCTGACAGCAGGCAAAGACGAAGGCGTAAGTAACATTTGCAGGGGCCATGGACAAGGGGTGCAGGAGGCATAATTAGTCCTGTGGGTCATACATTGGGTAAGGTTCTGTGATTGCAAGCAACAGAAACTGACTATGGTGAGTTAAGATAAACAAGTAAATTTATTGCAAGTTTATGCTCAATGTTCTATTGCTTTAATAGGTTAATTATTTTATATTCATAACAACCCAGGAAAGTACTAACAAACAGAAGAAACGAGGCTCTGAAGTAAATACATTATCTACCTGTAGCTAATATCCTATACTGTAGCTAGTAAGTAATGAGGGTGCTGAATCAGAGAAAGAACTGACTCAGGCATCATAAAGAGCCCCAGGGATTTGAACAGCAGCAACAAATAGCCAGCCTCTTCCATTTCAATGAAGCAGCTCCAGCCATTTTGTATCTATGTATCTCTTTGCTCAAGTTCAGGAAAGAATAGCAGGACACCTTGAATGACAGTCACGACATGACTACATGCAATAGGGAAAGGGCAGTTCTGTAAATAATAATTAGAATGTTTTTTCCAAAAAAAAAAAGTGGAAACTGTTGCCCAAGCAAAAACAACAAATGTCACCTACAAGATTGTAAGGAATATTATGAAACAACTAAAATTGTATTATAATTTCATGGGCAAATGCTATAATGTTGGTTGTAAGAAACAGCATGTAAATCTCTATGTTCCTCAGTAGCTCTGGAGAACATTTAGAGGCACCTAACAGACCCAGAATATTGCATGTTCTATATTGAAGATACAGGTCCTTGGTTTTTGTTTATGATGATGGCCCTGAGTTTGGAAAGAGGGAAGAAAGGTAGGAAAGAAAGAACAAACAAGAAGAAAGGGAGGAAGGAAGTTGGTTGGTTGAAGTATTGTTTATATAAACACGGAAATATTTTACTGTTTCTGTTTGTACCAGAACTATGTTTCTAGGTTTACTAAATATAGAATATACTGAAATTATTTCCTTCAAAAGAATTAAAGTAAAAAAAAAAAAAAATTATATATTTAGAAAAGCTAACTTTTAGTTATCAAAAAAAACTCATCAGCCCTAACCTTTAGACTTCAGCCCTGCTAAGGATCTTCTAATATAAAATAAGATAAAATTAAGTTCTGTTAATTAAGAATGTGTGATTGATTCATGCAGAAATTTCAACTGAAGTTATCTGTATTTAGCTAAACAATTTCATGAATAATGGAAATTAATGTTATAAATAAGATTCAATAAGAGCTATATAATTTTGAAAAAACTGTTTTAAACCAACTAAAAGCAAATCTTAATATGTCATTTGCAGTGGTCTCTTAAGAATTTATGTTTTGACAGCATAAAGATTAATATTTTATTAATATTAAACATTTATTAATTATTACAGTGAATAAATGATTAATAGTAATTAAATGAACCATATAAATAAGAGTTTTGTTAGTTTTGCTTGAGTTTACTACCTTTTTATCTAAATACTTTAACTTTAAACACATCTAAATTCTCTAACACCTTAAAAATTCATTGATTAGTCTACTCAGTGATAGAAATTATAGAGATAATGTGGTATATTCTTTGCCATTATCATCGTATGTTTTCACATAATTAACACAAAGCCTTTATACTAAAGTAAAAAGAAAAAAAAACACTGCCATTCAGTCAATTCCAATTTGTAGCAACCCTGTAGGACATAATAGAACTGCCCCCACAGGGTTTCCAAGGCTATGAATCTTTATGGAAGCAGACTGCCACAGCTTTCCCCCATGGAGCAGCTGGTGGGTTTGAATTGCCAACCTTTCAGTTAACAGCTGAGCACTTAACCACTGTGCCACCAGGGTTCCTGATACTGAAGTATTGTACAAGTATTATAAATGGTTACCACGTTAAGCTTGAAGCTTGAAGATACTATACTGAGTGAAATAAGTCAATCACAAAAGGATAAATATTGTATGACCTCACTTATATAAAAAGACAGGAACACGCAGGTGTATAGAGACCAAAGTTTACTAATGGTTACCAGGGCAGGAGGGAGGCGGGGGATGGTGGGTGCTATTGCTTATGGAGTACCGAGTTTCAGTTTATGGTGATGGAAAAATCGCATTGATTAAGTGTAGGGTTACACAGCTGATTATTTTAAGTGCTTTCAATAAGTTGTACATCTGTAAAAAGTTGAATTAGCAAGAGCTGTGTCGCAGACATATTTACAACAATGGCAAAAAAAAAAAAAAGAATAGCCGCTGAGGCTGTTTATGTACAACCAAACACCTCATGGGATTTGGTTCCTCAGTTTGGAGGTTTAGAGTCATGGTTTCATAGGACATCCCAGTTAATTGGCCTAACAACAGGTTTAGTGGTTTTGTTTACCTTCTAGTTTGTTGCATAGTGCCTGGGGCCTTAAAAGTTTGCAAGTGGCTATCCAAGGCACACAATTTGGTCTCTATTCACCTGGAGTAACAGAGGAAGAAGGAGAGTCAGGGATAGAAGGAGGAAATGGAATGTGTGGCTAATTGCTTCCATGAACAACCACCTCCCTTGCCATGAGACCAGAAGAACTGGATGATACCCATCTACCATCACTGAACATTTTGACCAAACAGTCTATAGAAGTATCCTGATCAAAATGGGGAAAATGGAGAACAGAATTTCAAATTCTAGGGACTCCAGACTTCTTGGAGCCATGAAGGTTGGGTGAACCCCTGAAACTATTGCCCTGAGATAATCATTAAACCTTAAACCAAAAATATCTCCTGAAGTCCTCTTAAAAACAAAAAATAGTCCAGCTTAGCTAGTAAAAACTGTCTGCCTGAGCCATTATGTCTTTTAAGAACTATCTATATGGGATGAAATTGACAAGAGCAACGCAAAAGATTAGAGGGTAACCTTAGAGGGTAGTAAGTTTATGTTAATGAGGGAGGAACAACTCAGAAAAAGAGGGTGAGAATGGTTGCACAACTCTTTAAGAATGTGATCGGTGTCACTGAATTGTACATGTAGAAACTGTTGAATTGATGTATATTTGCTGTGAATATTCTCAACAGCAACAAAATTAAAACAATTTAAAAAGAGCCAAAACTATAAAACTCTTGGAAAAAAACATGGGTGTAGATCTTCATGACCTTGGATTAGGCAATGATTTCCTATACATGAAACCAAAATCACAAGCAAATGCAAATCAAAACAACAATGAGATTCCACTTCACACCCACTGGGATGAGTATAATTAAAAAGATAAACAGTAACAAATGTTGGCAAGGATGCTAATAAATTGGAACACTCATATACTGCTAATGGAAATGTAAAATGGTACAGTCACTTTGGAAAATAGTCTGTCAGTTTATCAATTTCAATCCTAGGAATATACACAAGAGTAATGAAAACATGAATCCACACAAAAACTTGCACACAAATGTTCATAGCAGCATTATTCATAAATAGCCAAAAAGTGGAAACAACTCAAATGTCCATCAACTGATGAACGGATTTATAAAATGAGGTATATCCTACAGTGGAATATTGTTTGGCAATGCAAAGGAATGAAATACTGCCACATACCACAACATGGATAAACCTTGAAAACATTACATGCTAAGTGAAAGAGGCCAGTCACAAAAGACTACGTACTGTATGATTCCATTTATATGAAATGCCACAAATAAGCAAACCTATAGAAATGGAATACAGATTAGTGGCTGCTGGGGACAAGGAGAGTAAAGGAAAATGGGGAGTGACTGCTAATTGTTAAGAGGTTTCTTTTAGGGGTAATGAAAATGTTCTAAAATTTACTGTGGTAATGGTTGCCCAACTCTGTGAATATACTAAAAACCATTGAATTGTATACTTTGAATCGATGACTTATATGGTATGTGAATTAAAGCTCAATAAAGCTGTTATTTTAAAAAAAGATGACATTGACCTCCAAAGTCAAGTCTCATATATGATAATATTAGTCTCAAGACTAGGGAAGTTGTTAAATAACTCTATACACTGTATAATCCTCCAAAATATAAAATGCAAAACAGTCCCATTTCATAAAAATCTTAGTTTCAGAGACATTAAAATATATTGCTAATGTGACTGTGGCTATATTTTCTAATGGTAGTCCTAATGTCGTACATATTAGTACTTCATAAAAAAATAAAATATAAACTTCAATTTTTTTAGCACAATATGTTTTTGGGATATCAGACCACAGAAAATTTTAACTCCCCAGCCAACAGAGAAAAAGAAAGAAGAAAGCATTGAAATTCCTTATGATATACCATCTACTTTTTTGCATCTAGATCTCTCCTGGAAACCTCTCACTAAGGTAAGTAACATGGGATTTATTCCATTCTCATTTGCTTATACACCCTCTCCTCACTTATCAACATAGCTAGGTTCTGAAAACCAGGTCATTATGCAAAATTGGCATTATGTGAATAGAGGGTGACCACATCATCTCACAAAATGGAGAATGATTACATCATTACATAACAGCCAAATTGCATCATTACTTAACTGCCAAATGACTGAGAATCATGGCCCAGCCAAGCTGACACATAACCTTAACGATCACAGCCAGATTACTCTCGCCTCGCACCTTGGCATTCGTTACTGCCAGATGTCATAAACGTGCAAAATAGTCGGATAGTTGATTTTTTACTATTGTCGTAAATGTAAAGTGTTGGATAATGAGATAGTCGATAAATGAGAAGGTATATACACTATATAATATGTATACATATATATATATGCATACGTTAAAAGTAAAGCAGCTCAGATTAACACAGGACTTTACAATTCATGTACTCATTTAACCAATGAATTCATTGAATGAGAATTCTTATGATGCCTGCTTAGATCAAGCCAGAAATCACAAGCATCCTGAACTTGAGATTTGATATTTTCATGTATAAGCAAGCCACAACTTACAAATGGTTTATATAATATTGAATTGCATATCAGTTTCTTCAAAATTGGTAGGCTCCTAGGTTAGCCCAGAAAAGCTAATTTTACCTCTATTGTAGCCAAAATTCTGCATATTTTGCATCTCAATAGTAGAAACAAATATTATTGTAATGCCTATGACCAAACAAAACCGAAAAGTTGCTGAGTGAGAAATTATTGGTACTTATCTTGAATAGCAGAGCTTGAAGAAAAGCAACTTTAATTTGAGAAAGACATGGCCGTGGATGGGATGTGTATAGAAAATCTGAATAGATTTCTGAGTTTGATGGCTCTCTTTCTTTAGATGTCTAAGCTTAATTCCAAACTTGAGACTTTTTTTTTCTTTTGACTTATCACTATCAATGGAATTACATTACTATGTATTTGCTGTCAATGGAAGAATGAACACGGGGAAGAATGAACATGGAGGGGTGAGAATGTTCCTGAGGTAACTGGGAAAAAACCGAAAGAGAGGATTAGAAATTTCTGAGGTAGAAGTTACTGAGCTGTATCTAGTTGAAAAAAAACAAACACCCTGAGAATAATTGCATAGCATGTGAACAAACATTCTGTAGGAGAAAAAGAAGGAGGGAGTGATGAAAGAAAAATGTAAAATGTGACAGTTTTCCATTCTGGCCAAGGGACATGGTGCAGGCCATGGCCACTTCTGAAACTGATGTGCATGTGTATCCCTGAGGGGATTCAGAGGTGGCCAGGTGGATGCATGGTCCCTGCACAGCCCCCTGGAGTTTCATTTAACTGAAAGACTTAGGGAACAGAGGAACAAACCATTATTTTTACATTAAAACTAGCAAGGATGTATTGTAGGATAGAATACAAGACATTTTCAGAAGGAAAACAACCACATGAGACTAGGATTTTGCAGTTCTTCCCCCGAGATGAGCACTTTTTTCAGTGGCAAAGTTTTAGGAACTGTGGTTTAGGTACTTTCCATGGAGAAAAGCAACTAGAAATCTGAGGGAGAAAGAGGAAAGGAGAAGGAGATAGAATACAGCAAGCTGGAGGCAGGAGGGAAAGGCAAGAATAAACCACACAAGGATAAATTAAGGATGTATGGGAATAATCTTTCTTATATGTTCTCCTGAAAGATAAGGCTGTCTAAGGGTGAAACAAGTTTAGAACACTGCCCAACCAAGATAAGCCTGAGTGAAGAACATCTCCTTTACAAATCGCAAGGTAACTGCCTTTGCTTTATTAAAAAGGTGTTTAATAGGTTGAGTATTAGTGGCTGATTATGTCTAAGGTGAGTTGCTTGCTATGACAGTCTAATTTGTAAAAAGTATAAAGAAAATGAAAACCTCCAGTATGGAACTTTATAATAGCTGTAATAGCTATAGGGGCTTGGTGGCACAAATAGTTTGCAAGTGGCTGCTAACCTAAAGGTTGGTGTTTCAAACCTACCCAGCAGCTTCATAGAAGAAAGTCCTGGTGAACTGCTTCCATAAAGATTACAGCCAAGAAAACTCTATGGAGCAGTTCTACTCTGTAACACATGGGGTTTCCATGAGTCAGGGGCCGACTGGACAGCAGCTAACGACAACAACAATAGCTATAGCCAACACGTGAAAACTGCTTATATACACAAAAAGATTTGACAGAATTCAGTTAACTCAGTTTCACATTTATTGAGCACATTTATGTATTTTTGGAAACTTATTACTTAAAAATTTAATGAAGCCCACTTAATGAATATGTTTGTGCTCAAAGAATAACTCTATAGAATGGAACGTACCTGAAGTCTAGCAAGTGAGTTGTGAAGTACTAAGAAACAAATTACCATTCTCAGCCAGAATATAATAGAAAAATTAATATTTGTATAGCACCATGATAAAACTGAATAAGACAGGGCAATTGAGTTTTAAATCTATCTCCATTCAACCCATTCACCTTTGTTAAAGTAAGTGAAGGCTGCCCATATAAAGGTACAAAATTAATTCAAATAAAGATGTGCATGAATATCTCAGTGCATGAATATGTGCAATGCATAGTGAAAATCTCCAAGAATAACTAGCAATTGAAATATTTTCCAAACATTTGCCTTGTCTAAAGGATTTCCGCTTATAAATTTTTCAGTGTTCAATTAAATAACAGGATGTCTAACAAAAAAAAATTCTATACTTAATACCCAGCTTGAGCAAAATTTTACTTTGGAGCTATGTGTTTTGTAGATATAACCCAAGACCTCATGCTAAAGAAAGAAAAAATGGAATCACTAAATTTTTATAGACATTTTCAAAGCAGTAAAATATTAAAACACTGCATGTAATGCTTTCTTATTTATTTAGGCCTGCTTTATTCCAGAGGGAATCTAAGGGGTGTGTGTGTGTGTGTGTGTGTGTGTGTGTGTGTGTGTGTTTTCCCTTATTATGGCTATGGTTACAATTTATTGAATTCCAGCCATGGGTCAGGCACTGTGCTAACATTGCTCCTACTTTCATGTATTTAACAGATATTTATAAAGTGCTTATTTTCTGCTTAAAGAAAGTCCTATTTGGTTAAATCAGCTCGTAAAGGGATTGGACATACGTTTTTAGGAGCTCACTCAGCGTCAGTGTCTAGTACTCTGTTGCCACCTAGTGGTCACAGGCCACTCACCTTCTGCCTCCCATTTTAGGTCCATGACAGTCTGTGCCCTTTTAGTAGTCACTGTAAGAAGTTCTCTATTTATTCTAATGACAAAGCCTTTGCTCTAAATGGTTCTGGAATTCCTCTTTTGGAATTGCCCTCAGAACCTGTGTTATATTTTTCTAAGCAATGCAATAGAGTGGTTAAGGGTGTGGATTCTGGAATCCGTGATCTGGGTTTGAGTTCGACACTGCAGTTTATTATTTGGCCAGGACAAATAACTTTACCTTTCGTTACTTTTTTTTTAAACCTGTTTAAAAAGAAAGGGGGAGAAAAGGGGAGTAGACAATAAAGGTAACTACAGCATAGAGTATTGTGAAGATAAAATGCGTATTAACACTGGCACTGAGAACAGCACAAAGTCAACTCAATAAGCACGTTACTTAACATCTCTGAGCCTCGGTCTACTCATCCTTAAAGAAGGATTAATGCTTCACCACCTCAGGAGGTATTGAATTGAATGAAATAATGTAAAGTACATAGTTTAGTGCCTGCCATGTAGTATGTGCTCAATAAATGTTAGTTGCTGTTATGATTACTTTCCTCAGTGATGGCAAATCCTCATCCTTAAGGATGACCTTGAATTTAGTCAATATCCAAAAGTTATTCCAGTCCAGTCTGAGTAGACATAGCTGATGATAACATTTTTCTCTGGCCTCATCCTCTTTAAACTATTGACGAAGCCCCTTTCCTTGTTACTCAAACCCTGTACCCACGTGATCAGTTTTATATGCAGGGGTTTCCGCATAAGCTTTCGTTTGAGAAAAGGGTTCTGCTGCTAAATTAGAAGTCTGAAAAAGTTTGGATTTATGCCCACTGTGTTGGGGAGGGGATGGGGTGGCTGTGTGTGACTAGGAGCGGAAACTAAAAACTGTATTTTTAAAAGATCTTTCACTGTAAATATGTGCTTCTTCTATCTATACTCCTCTGAAAGAGAAAGTGTTAGTCCAGGGCAAAGCAACGAAGGTAGGAGAAATAAACCCATACCAGAATCTGGAAGCTGGGCTGGCCAATCCTCTTAAGCCAATAGAAGACTTCTCCACAAAGTTCTTCACGGGAACAGAGGTGAGTTGGAATTACCTGCTTTTAAAAGTAGTACTTCTAATTACCCTGAAATATATAATTATACCCCCTATTGTACATGTTTGCTTTATGAGGACTTATAATATTTATGGAGCCCTGGTGGCGCAGTGGTTAAGCACTCTTCTGCTAACCGGGAGAGGTCGGTTTGAACCCACCAGGTGCTCTGCAGGAGAAAGATGTGGCAGTCTGCTTCCGTAAAGATTTACAGCCTTGGAAACCCTATGGGGCAGTCCTACTCTGTCCTATAGGATCGCTATGAGTCGGAATCCACTCGACAGCAATGGGTTTGGTTTTGGTTTATAATACTTATATTTATGCCATTTTCATATTTTAATATGCTTATTTGCATTTAAAGTTTTTAACCTTGATGGCTCATAGTTTCACATTTGAAATGCTCCTGAACAAATGTAGAAAAACCCATTGAATTACGTATGACCCGTTTCATTAATAATTTATTGATCAATCTACAAATATTTGTCAAACACCTACATCGTGTGGAAGAAACCATGCTAAGTATTAGACGTATCCTAAGAAAACGTGTTGTTTGTTAGGATAGCACGGTGTAGTAGGAAAGACAGTGAAAAACTCACTCAATTCAAAAGATAAATAACAATTGAATATAATAACAGTGATGGCTGCCATTTTTCAACATCTACTATAATAACCAAGAGCACATAATTATTAGACATTTTTCATGTATTAGGGTCTGTGTGGAGTCCCTGGGTAGCACAAACATTGAAGCACTTGACTACTAACCAAAAGGTTGGCGGTTTGAACCCACACAGAGGTGCCTTGGAAGACAGGCCTGACCATCTGCTTCCAAAAGGTCATAGCCTTGAAAACCTTATGGAGCAGTTCTACTCTGCACACATGGGGTCACCATGAGTTGGAATTGACTCAACAGCAACGAACAACAACAGGGTCTGCGCTAGGTATTTTCCAAATTACATCTCATTTAATTCCAGTATTCCTGTGAGGTTTATATTAGTATCCCTGCTGTACAGATGAAACTGAGGCTCAGAACTTAATCTACAGTCATACAGAGTCAGAGTTGCTCTTTCATTCATGACTCTATTTCCCTGAAATAATGGGAATTTCTCCCAGGCCATACCACCACGAGGAAATTCTATAGTTCAGTCTCATGGGAGTGCAATTTGCATTCACACTTTATTATTATGAGGGGGTTAATCAATTCCACATGCCTTTGAGAGCTGGCAGGCACAGCACTAGGCATTTGGATCAGAGATGAGTAGCCCAGTCCCTGTTCTCAGGACTCTCCTTGCCTACTCGAGGAGCAGATACATGGACAGTATGATATATAGCAGCACCTGTCCAGAGGCTACATGGATTAGAAGGGGAAGGTTGGGGGAGCCTTCACAGAAGTGACCTGTGAGCTTGCTGGACATTGGAGGTTGAGAGGGAACCTGAAAGACCAGTGTGAGGACACATTCCAAGCAGAAGTAACAGCCTGAACAGTAGAAAGTCTAAGATTTGTCTAATGAGCTTGGTTGGCGCAAGCAGTTTGCAATCGGCTGCTAACCCAAAGGTTGGCAGTTGGAACACCCAGCAGCTCCATAGAGGAAAGTCCTGGTGATCTGCTTCCATATAGATAGCAGCCAAAAAAACCCTATGGAGCAGTTCTGTTCTGTAACACATGGCGGTATAATGCACGGTGACACCATGAATTGGGGGCTGACTCAATGGCAGCAAACAACAACAGCAAGAGAATCTGTCTGGAGACTGTGGAATAGTTTGGTGCAAGAGAGGAAAATAGGCCTAGAATGCCAGGTCAGGTACCAACAGGCCTTTTCTGCTATGTTTGGTGATTATTTTATAACTTGGGTTTCATACCAAAGATTTTTAAGCAGGGGAATGACACAATGAGGTCATCTTTAGAAAACTAAAGGACCACAAGGTCTTAAAACAAAAATTAAAGCATGACACACTCCCATTTAAACTCTCTAGTAGCAACTCAGTGTAACACAGATAAACTCCAAACTCTTCACACTATGGCCTATACGATTCTGCATAATTTGGCTCCTGCTTATCCCTCAAACCCCCATCTGCACCATTCTCCCTCTCATTCACTTCAACTGCTCTAAGTTTTCTCACACTCTTCTTATATAACAAGCTCTTTCCTGCCTTTAGAGCCCTTGCTCTGCTTGGAATTCCTTCTTCCGTCATTGGTAGATATTTATGGAGCATTTAACATATACCAGGCACTGTTCTTGGGCCTGGGGATATAGCAGTGAACAAACCAGATTAAATTCCTTGCCCTGTGGGGCTGACATTCTAGTGGGATGCTCTTCTGCCACCTCTTGATGTGGTGGTTAAGGAAGGCCCCTCTGGACTCTAAACAGGCTGGTGGAGGCCTGAGGTGGGGGGAATGGAACCCTGGAGGCAGAGAGGCCAGGCAGGTGGACTAACCCAGGGCCTGAGCAGTGGGGCCAAGAATGTCCACACAGGTCGGGGTGTGAGTAGCACTGTCAGACTGGGTAACTGGATGGGGACGGATGTGAAGGTTTTAAGCTGGGTGACTGACTGACATAAAGGGCACTCAACACGTATTTATTAAACTTATCCAAACTCTTCCTCTGTGACTTGATTCGATCTCATTGTTCCACGTACCAGCTATGAGACCCGAGAGATGTTAAGAACTCTCTTCCAGGGCTTTGGTGAGGGCTGGAGATAATGTTCGTAAAGCTCCTGACAACTGCAGCAAGCACTGAGAGCTCAGTAAATGGTCCTGAGGAGGGAGAAGTGCTAGCACTGTGCAAAGGCCTCTGGACTCTTCCCAGGGCAACAGACTAGCCATCCATTTACTGATCTGTCTCCTCCCTTAGACTGTCAGTGGCATGATGGAGGGAGAGCTTGTCCTCTGACTCTGAATTTCCAGCACCAAATACAGTCCTTGTTTGCTAACTGAATTAACATGGATTAGTAAGAGCACAGATGAGTGGATGGGTGGTCCCTGTCCCCAGTGAGCTTATCATTCACTTCGCATAATTCAAATGTGCCCGTCTCCCCTCCCTCACCCACTCATTTCAATTCATCCCCTTCTTCTCTTCCTTCTCCTTCTCTTTCTATACACCTTTCTTTGTAGTTCCCTCTTGTTGTTGTTGTTGTTGTTTGGTGCCATCAAGTCAATTCTGACTCACAGCTGCCCACGTGATAGAATAGAACTACCTCATAGAGTTTTCTTAGCTATAATCTTTACAGGAGCAGATTGCCAGGTCTTTCGGTGGGTTCGAACCGCCAACTTTCGGTTAGCTGTTGAGCACTTAACTGTTGGCCATCAGGGCTCCTTTTTCCCTCTTATTATCCAATAAAAAAAAAACAATTGAAATTAGGAGCCTTTGCATCTAGGGGAACTTCAGTAAATCATTTAACCTCTCAAGAGTCTCCGTTTTCTTATCTATAAGATGGCACTATAGGACTAAATTTTTCTATAAACCTCTTTTGCCTCTGTCATTTTTGGTTTTGTCTGTCTTTTGTTTATTTGGTTATTCTCACCTCTTCTTTCTATCAGGTAGCTTTGCCTTTCCCTCCCTTTCAAATGGCTATAAAGAACAACTGAAATGTATTTTACTTGTTATTTTATTTTGATAGAACTTTGTTTCCTGGTCTCAACTTTAAAAAGTAATGAGTACCATTATCATGCATTCACATTCCCTCTTTCTCGCTTATTCCACAAATATTTATTAAGCACTGTCTTTGTAACATGTTGTTGTTTTTGTTAGGTGTTGCTGAGTTGGTTCTGACACATAGCAACCCTACGGACAACAGAACAAAACACTGCCCGGTCCTGAGCCATCCTTACAATCATTGCTGTGTTTGAGCCCGTTGTTGCAGCCACTGTGTCAATCCGTCTCATTGAGGGTCTTCCTCTTTTTTGTTGACCCTCTACTTTACCAAGCATGATGTCCTTCTCCAGGGACTGGTCCCTCCTGATAACATGTCCAAAGTATGTGAGATGAAGTCTTGCCATCCTCGCTTCTAAGGAACGTTCTGGCTGTACTTCTTCCAAGACAGACATGTTCGTTCTTCTGGCAGTCCATGGTATAGTCAATATTCTTCCCCAACATCATAATTCAAACACGTCAATTCTTCTTTGGTCTCCTTTTTTAATCTACGCTAGATAAAAATGCAACAAACTCACTTTTTTGTTCAACATACAGTCAAGTAATCAGTTTAAGCCTTTCCCCCCGTACTGTATTGAATTATTATTTGATTAAATTGACTTGTCGTTCTGTGTTTGTTTTTGGTTGCAGTTAGGCTAAGCACACGAATGTGAGGTCTTTTGTCTCTTAAGCTGGCATTGTACTCATTGGGAACTTGTAATATTTTTAGGAAGGTGAAGTGATATACACAGACTGGAAAATGGAAAGAGACCCTGACACTGGACGATTGATGGGTAAGTTTTGGTGACTGCCCCATTATTAATGAGAAGTTCCTTTTAATTTAAACTACCTGGAGAAATATCGTTCAGCACTGAATAACTCAGCCTTGCTAATGGATGGGAGGGCACCTATGGTTCTGACTATATTCTTGTTACTCCAAGTGAGGACCTCGAACCAGCAGTACAGTTATCACCTGGAAGCTTGCTAGAAATACAGGATCTGGGATGCTACCCCAGGCTTACTGAATCCGAATCTGGATTTTAATAAAATTCTCCAGGCGATTTGTCTTCACGCCAAAATTTGAGGAAAACTGGCCCATATAATACTTAAATGACTGAGAGATTTGGACAATTTAATTTAAAAAATAACAATGCTACTAATGGACCACAGCTACCAAGGCCTCCACCAGATTGAGTCCAGTACAGCTATATGGTGCCCGGCTACCACCACTAACTGCTCTGACCAGGATCACAACAGAGGGTTCTGGACAGAGCTGGAGAAGGATGTAGAACAAAATTCTAACTCAAAACAAAAAGACCAGATTTACTGGCCTAAAGGAGACTGGAGAAACCCCGAGGGTATGGCCCCAGACACCCTCTTAGCTCAGTGGTGAAGTCACTTCCAAGGTTCACCACTCAGGTGGGGAGTGGACAGCCCCATAAAACCAAATGGGACTAATGAGGTGCAGCAGTCCAGGGACAAGGGCTAGAAGGCAGAAGGGGACAGGAAAGCTGGTGATAGAGAAACCAGGGTTGAGTAGGGATAGTGTTGATGTGTTGTGAGGTTGTTAACCATTGTCATAAGGCAACATGTGTACTAACTGTTCAATGAGAAACTATTTTGTTCTGTAAACCTTCATCTAAAGTGAGAGTAGCAGCACAATTGGAAGAGTGTAGTCGATGTCACTGAACTGTGCATATAGAAATTTTTGAAATGGTGTATCTTTGGCCATGTATATTTTAACCAAAAAAAAAAAAAGGTTGAGAAGGGAGAGGGTTGACATGTCGTGGGGTTGTTAGCCAATGTCATAAAACAATATGAACGCTACTGTTTAATGAGAAACTATTTGTTCTGTAAACCTTCACCTGAAGTACAATAAAAAAAAAAAAATAACAACAACGCTGTCTCGTTAATTTGACACCCAGTAGCTCAACCAATGTGGAAAAATCCAAGTCAATGTGAGATTGTAAACTACATTTACAATGATCTTGAAGACCCCAGGACAGTACAGGAAAAGTGACTACTGGACCCTCCTTTGGGGTTGAGACAGGTGGTACCCATGTGTTTCCCTGCTCCCATGGGTCCTGACACTGTAGGCAGCTCAGCAGAGGTATGTGGGTCACACCCAGCTGTGACAGGAATCAGAGTCAGGAGTATAGGTCCCCAGTAAGCAAAGCTCCTCCCTTTAATAGGTTCAGAGCCTTGGGATTGACTACAATTATCACTACTTAATGTAAAGCTTTGATTTTTATCATGGCATGAAAATATATTTAAACTACATTTCAAAGTGTGGGATAGCCATATGCAAAGGAAGAGGGCAGCTCCTGGCACTGCTGGGCAAATAAAGGCTGGTAATAAGTTCAGAATGCCACAGGCGGGAGCAGTGTGGTGGAGCAGCTAGGTTAGGTTTGCAGAAGGGGACTGTGAGTGGTTGGAACAAGTGGGAATATGAGCGACTGATGAAGGTCAGAGGTCAGAGCCATAGCCTGCAGAAAGCAGTAGCTGTAGCTAGGGTCTTCACCTCCAAACATCACCCTCTTCACTTTTACTGAGTCTGGTTCCACAGATAAGAGTATGCCTTATCCTTAAGAAGGTTTTCTATGTCAGCCTTGCCTTCAGGGTCACCATTTTATTTTATTTATTTATTTATTTTATTGTGCTTTAGATAAAGGTTTACAGAACAAATAGTTTCTCATTAAACAGTTAGTACACATATTGTTTTATGACAATGGTTAACAACCCCACGACATGTCAACACTGTCCCTTCTCAACTTTGGGTTGCCTATTACCAGGTTTCCTGTCCCCTCCTGCCTTCTAGTCCTCAAGTTAACCATTTAATCTTGAAGCAAAAGCATCCCTACTTTTCTTACATAGCATCACCTGACAGAAACCCAAATGTGTGTGGACCAAATAAGTGTTATTGATTACAATGGGGTACTAGGAGAGGATTAAATATGACCCAAGGGAGGGCCAATTGCATATAGAATTTAGACTAATTTTCTACTTTCCATTTATTCCCAATTACATGATTTAAACTTGAACTTCTCAAAATTGTATAATTAACTATAATTAATTCCATTCAACTTATTTTATGCTTATTCATAAATTAGTTAGTCAGTAATTCTTGAATTTTAATTGCACACCTATGGCAGGCCAGTCTCTACCACATACCTGCATTCCAAGCTGAGGGCCTGGTGTCATGGCCTGGTTGCATACTGGTAGCACTAGTTCCTCCTGGTCTCAGAGATTTTCTTCCAGCCCCACGTCCTCCTGGAACCAGCTTTCTAAACTGCTTTTGAGAGGGCCTATAATAAGCAGGGTTAGTTATTTGTTTTAAGTAGATATTATTTATAAAATAACCAATAATAATAAACTTAAAACTCAGGAGCTTTATGTTTGAATCTTATGGATATGTTTGCTCTTTCTTATTTTCATTCATTCATCAAATCATTGGTGAGAACCTACTTTGTGGTAGGTGCTGGAGATACAGAGATGGCTAAGATATTATCCTTCCCTAAAGAGGCCCCGTGATCTATTGGAAAAGTTAGACACATCAACAAATGGTGACATTACAGTGTCGTTAGTGCTGTAGTTGGAAGCAAACACAAAGTGACGTGGAGGGACTGGCGTTCTTGGGCTGTTAAGAAAAGATCTTACTGAAGAGAAATATAGTTGACCCGGGTCTCAAGGGGGTGAATAGGAGTTTTCCAGATGGAGAAAACAGAAAAGACATTCCAGGCAGAAAAAGTAACATATATGCAAAGGCATAGAAACCCAAAAGAACACCAGACAATTAGGGAGCAGAGAGGAGATCTCATGTCCAAAGTATAGCAATAGGGAAGGCAGCAGTGGGATTGGTGGCAGGATGGACTTTTGGGTCCAGATGGCAAAGAGTCTTGAGTGCTTTGGACTTTATCCTAGAGCCACCAATCTAATTAGAAAATCACTCTGGCAGGAGAGCAGGCGCTGGATTAACTGAATGGTGGGATTTATAATGGAAGCAGGATGACCAGTTGCAATAGGCCAGATGAGAGGTTGTGAGGATTGAACTACAGGCATGGTAACAGGGATGTATAGCAGAGGAAATAGGAAAGACAGTTAGAGGTTAACATGGCAGGGCATTGTGACCAATGGGATGTTAGTGGTAAGGAAGAAGAGTAGCTTTTAATTTCTTGGTATTTAGTTGATTTAAAAAAATGGGAAATAGTTTTAACCACCCAATCAAATGATTATGATAATTATTTAAAATCATCAATTATTTTCTGACACGGAAAGATGGAAAACACTGTTATTCCCATTGGATAACGGCTGAAATGCAGTGAAAGTTAATGCATAGATGTTCTCAGTGGTAAACTATGTGCCCTATTTACATTCTGTGAACTGGCAAAGTTTTCCTTTGGAGCTGCCAGCAGCGGTGTCTTTCATAAACATCATGCAGATTTCTTGAGTAAAGATGAGGTGAAATTGTCAGTTAGAGGCAATGACTGGGACCCATCCCTCTTGGTCTGCTTGGAACCCCATGTTCTTATCTTGAATACAGAGTTAGGTGGGAAGAACAATTTCCTCATCTAAGAAGAAACTTCTGAAAGGCAGATTACCAACCCCCTGACTGAAGTGTGTGATGAAGAAGTCCAATTAAACAAAGTTTTCAAATGCTCTAAGTGACAAGCCAAGAAATGCCAGCTGAACGATGAGAGTTCACAGAACCATCTCATATGCTCAAAAATCAGTGCATGTCATGCGCCAGGCACTCTTCTAAGCACTTTCCATGGATTGACTTGTTTAATCCTCACAGCTCTATGGGCTAAGTACTGTAAGTGGCATTGGCAGGATTTGAACCCAGGCAGTCTGCTGCCAGAGTCTGTGCTCTTAACCCTATCACTATACCGAAACCCACTTAGATAATGACTCTGGAACAAACTACTTTTTGTTTATTGTAGTTTTCTTATAATAACCTGGCCTGTGGGCTCTGGCACTCCATTAGTAAAATTAATAGCTATAGGGCAACTGCATTCATTGGAGCATCGATGGAACATCCATTCCCTAAGGTCTTTCAAAGGACAAAAGGAAGGAAAAGTTATTCCCCCCACCCTCCCCAGGAAGTAAAAGTTATTATAGGCTGAAAACATCCAGCACATTATTTATTTTTTATTGTAGTAAAGTACATAGAACATAATATTTACCATTTTAACCATTTCAAAGTGTACGATTCAGCGGCATTAAGTATATTCACAATGTTGTACAACTATAACCACTATCTAGTGCCAGATCTTTTTCATCACCTCAAAAGGAAACCCCATTCCCATTAAGCAGTCCTCCTCATTTCCTCCTTCTCCCCTACCCCTCAGCCCCCGGCAACCACTAATCTGCATTCTGTCTCTATGGATTTGCCTGCCCTAGACATTTGATATACATGGAATATGTGTATGTGACCTTTTGTGACTGGCTTCCTTCACTTAGCATAATGTTTTCAAGGCTCATCCATGTCGAGCATGTATCAGTACTTCATTCCTTTTTATGGCTGAAGAATGTTCCATTGTATGGATATATAATATTTTGTTTATCCCCTCATCAGTCGATGGACATTTGGGTTGTTTCTATGTTTTGGCTGTTGTGAACAATGCTGCTATGAACGTTCATGTACAAATTTTTGTTTGGACACCTGGTTTCAATTCTTTGGGGTATATATCTCCAAGTGGAATTGCTGGGTCATATGGTATTCAATATTTAATTTATTGAGGAGCTGCCAAACTGTTTTTCACAGCAGCTGCACTATTTTACATTTTAACCAGCAATGCACGAGGGTTCCAGTTTCTCCCCAACTTTGCCGACACTTGTTATTTTACATTTTTGTCTTTTTGATTAGGGCCACCCAAGTGGGTGTGAAGTGGTATATTATTATGGTTTTGATTTGTAGTTCCCTAATGACTAATGACATTGACCATCTTTGCATGTGCTTGTGGCCGTTTGTCTATCTGTGAACATGTTATTTTAAAGTACAGTCTTGATCGTCGTTGACATTGTTATCACTGGTATCAGTACAGTTCTCAGAGGGCTTCCAGCCTCCTGCCCTGCACTGCTCACCTGGTGAGCTGGTGTCTTGGGAAGCCCCTCTGGCCCTAAGGACAAAAGCAGGTTCTGAGAAACTGGGGCAGCAGCAGGGAGAAAGCAGCTGATTGCTGGGGCTCTCGTGCCTTACCAGGAATCTTCCACATCACCTTAAGGATGGCCCGAGAAGTATATCTTCGTGTTCTTTTCAGGATGGGGCTTTGGTTGGAGGAAAATTGCTCTTTCCCCCCCCCCCCAATCCAGAAAAGCTACATTTAAAATTTTTTATTTATTTATTTTACTTTATAAGCTTTTTAACAAGATTCAGTAACTCTTTTTGTGTATAATGCCCCATTCAGAATTCTGGAGGGGAAAAAAAAAGCCCTCACATAGCTATTAATAAGCTAAGATTACAGAACAAGTTTGTGGTTTTAGCGTAAAGTCGCCAAACGCTGTGGTTCAGCCTCGACAGGATTATATGTTTATGGCCATCACTGGGACTGTGGTTGGTGGGCAAGGAACGGGGAGAATCCAGCTCTGCAGTGCCACCAGGGCCTGGGGATGGGGAAGGGCAAGAAGAGACCCAACAATGACTGGGTAAAGAGATCTCAGGGGCCTGGGCCAGAGACTAAACAGAACTCTTGCTCTTAACATCCAAATTGCTCCCTTTCTAGCGATCCCAGTTGCAGTAAATGGAAATGCCATCGAGCCAGTTGCTCTTGTCAGAATGCAGGCTGTCATTGTCAGTACTTCTTCTCTTGCTCCCTTCTCATTCAAGCCATCTCCAAGTCCTGGGAATGCCAGCTCCCAGATATTTCTTGACCATCCACTCTTCTCCATTGCACCTCATACAAGCCACCATCATCTCTCACCAGGACTACCATGATGGCCTCCTATCATCTCCCGTCTTATGCTTTTACCTGCCTCTAATCCTTCTCCTCCCAGCAGTCAGAGAATCTTTTGGAAAAATCAATCAGATCACCTCACTTCCAGGCCTAAAAGACTCATGAGCGCACACTGCACCTAGGATATAATCTAAACTCCTTTCTTATGAGGCTCTGAGTGATCTGCACCTGCCTGGCTCCCACTTGTCTCCTGTCTCTCACACTGTGATTACCAAACCCCACTCATATTGCCTTCCTCAGACTTACAAAAGGCACCAAACACTTTCTTTCCTCAGGACTTTGATGTATATTATTCCCTCTACCTAAAATGTTCCTCCACACCAAAATCTTCCCATGCTACACCGCTACTCAGGCCTAGACAACTCATCTTCAGAGAAGCCTTTTTGACCATCCGGTCTAAGTTATGTCCCTTTGTTATTCTTTTAGTATTTTTCTTTTCCTTCACAGCCCTTTTCACCGTTTTTTATTGTGTATTTTGGGGGTTGTTTGACTGTCTTTCCCATCAGACTGTAAGCTCCATGAGGGCAGGATTCTGTTTGTTTGTTCACCATTGTACAGCAGCTGGTGTGTGTAGGCAACCCATCAATATTTATTGACTGAATGAATGAGTAAATAAATAAGAACCTAAAGAATCCCTCTAGACCTGAAAAGTGGCCTCAATGGAAAGTTCCCTGGACTTTTCATAAAAAGTGGAGGAAGAGCTATTGCTTGATAGTTTCATTCACCCCAACTGACCTCTGGCTTTCCACTCTGAACTTCATTAACTGAGGCCTCTCTGTCCATTGGAGGCCTGTCCATTCTTCCTTGTGGGAACCTAAACAGTGTTATTAAGGATGAAATGGCCTTTTCCACTCCAACAGCAAAGAAGCCAGTTAACCTCTACACTGTCCATGATGGAGCTGTCCACACTATTCAGAGGTCACCTTTTTACAAGGACATTATCCTGACCATTGGGGGATGGAATGTGGCTATCTGGAAGGAAGACGTTGTGGTAAGTTGCATGAAAAATGTCTGAGTGGGTGTGTGGCCCTTTGTTAATGAGAAAGACAATAGGAACAACAGACTGTTCTGACATACCAGTGCCTTTGGGATACTTCTTAGAAAATTAGAACAGATGGCCAGGGCTCCAGTAAGTCAGCAGAACCACTGTCAGCCTTTTAAAAACAACCATTTGCTCTTCTTTCCTGAGGGAATGAAACAACGTTTACAAGTCCCTTGTTCTCTGAAAACGTATAATCTTTTCTTTGAGATATATATTGTGGGCCAATGATTTGCTTTGTGTTTTTTTCTCCATTTAAAATAAAAGATGGGATGCTGATTACTGTATATGCCCAAGGAGAAACATTTGGTCTGGCATTTTTGCTCTGTACCAGAAATATGTTGGCAGTTCAGAAAGAGGGAGTAGGTAAGCTAGGGGGTCCATTACCAGGTAGAACATGACCTTTCCAGAGACACATGAGCCAAAGGTAGTGGTGAGGCAGTGACAAGAATCTGGTGGTCAGGATTAAGAAAAGGGGCTAGGTCCGGGCAGAGAAGCTAAACCGGAAAAATTAGACCGATAAAAGCTAGTTAAGCAAGAATGTGGGGGAAATACTGATTTTGGTGGGAGTTTAAATTGATCTATCCCTTCGGTGGGCAATTTGACAAGATTATCAAAATCTGAAAGATATATGTATATATATTTCACAGCTGGAGATAGATAAAGATAGAGATATATATTCTTTGACCTAACAGTTACACTTCTGGGACTCTGACACAAATACACAAAGAAATGTGCATAAATATATGAGCAAGGATGTTACCATCCAAACAACTGGAAACAAATGCCCATCAGCAAGAGGACTTCTACTTTATATCAAATGTACTTCTGTAATGTTTGAGTTTTTTGTTTTTGTTTTCGTGTTGCTTTTATTTTAACAATGAAGAAGTATTAGGTTTGTAGTTTAAAAGAAAAGGAAAATTCAGGCAAGATTATCCAAAGTCTCTGCAGGGGTCAGGAACCTGGCTGTCTCCTGGTAAGGAGAACAGGTTTGAAGTGCTGCCTCTAAGGAGTCCATGAATCTGCAACATTCCTCGTTCCCTACAGGAAAGTTTCTTAAACGTGTATTAGAGAACGAGAAGCAGCTCCATGGTCTAGTTTAGCGCCTGCAGATGTAAGTCGGTCAATGAGTACACCCGGTTGCCAGATGGTGTGTGACAGTGAAAGAAAGCACACTCTGATCTTCTTTCTCTGTGAAAACCTCCCAAAGCATGCAAATGACCTCATGGTAGAAAAAAGAGCAGATGATCTCATGAGGCTTTAGTGGTCTACAGTCACTTCCAAACAATATTTATAAGCCATTGGATGATTCCATGTTAAGTTATTTAGCACAAATTTGCCAACTCTGCTGTTGATTTTCAACATGCGGCTTACAGCTGGAATTGACAAGAGTTTTCATTTGCTTTTCCTGGCTACCAGAGCTGTTCCCATGGGAAGGAGACATCTGATAGCAAAATGAAGGTCTACAGTGATAATCACCATATAAACTTTGCTTATCTAATGTCCATCAGTCTCCATAGAAATAGCAATGAACTTTAGCAGCAGTTGAATTATTAGAACGATCACAGCTTGATTTGAAGGTTTAGGCTTTTCTAAAAAGCAACTGAAGAGAAAAAGGGTGTTATGAAAATACATAGGAATGAAAAGAGCTGGCATTATATAAAAACCTGACCATAAAGAGAAGACTCTGAGTGGGCATATTTTTGCTCTTCCGTGATCATAGCCATCTGACTTGTACTTACAGGAAACTGTTTAGATTCAGAACTGAAAATCATTGTGAATTCCCCTCAGATGGTAACAAAAACTTTGAATTTGTATTTAAAAAATTCTTTTTTAAGATTGGACCCCTACTTCAGTCATGCTGTGCACCAAAAAGGTACACCTCAGGGCACTGGTCCCTGACAAGGCCTGGGGTTTTCTATGTTGGTCGAGAAGATGGATACATTGATATCTGGGACCTTCTGGAAAAAACGCACGAACCAGCCCAGTCACAAAACATCTGCGTAACAATGATCACCTACATCAAACCCTGGACCCTTTCTGGTATGTTATGAGCTAACTCATTTTGCCTTTTTTAGTAACTCGGGAATATTTGACATTCATCTGGAAAGCTTCCAATATTTTCTCTCAGGTTTTCGTTTTTCTGCTCTTCCCTTCCCTCTTGCTCTCAGATCTTGGCTACAACCTGAGCTTCTCTTACTGTTGTGCTTCCTCAACAATTCTTTCTGAGATATGTTTAGCGTGTCAAACAGAGGCTGATTTTGAAATATGCAATGGAAAACACCCTTCTCATCTTTTCCAGGTCAGACAGGGTGATCCCTAAATCTTTGCTACTTTTTGCTGCTTCTTTTCCAAATAGAATAGTTTTGTTTCTTTAACTTTTCACTATAAGTCACATTTTTCCAACATTTTATCACTTTTGCAGTTCTCCCTGGACAGTGTCAAGCAGTCCTTTTGACAAAATCAAATGACTCTCTGAGAATATATATCTATTTAAACTTCAATTTTTATATTAATTACAAGGAAAAAATAATGTATAGCAAAGCATGCAGGAATTCAAGGATGTGTCTATGGAAAAATAATTTGTTTCTTCCATCCTAATCTTTCTGTTTTACCCAAGTTTACTTTTTGTATAAATCTAGTATATTTACCTCTTTAAAAAGAAGATCTGTTTCCCTTTGTTTCCAAAGGAGTGCAGGCATAAAATGTTCTTTCTATCCATTTCTCTCTCAAAAACTTTAGATTTGGAAGCTGAATCTTCAGAATCCCTCGAGTGTCACAGTCTGGCTACTACTTAGTCATACGTGTCACCAAAGTGTGTTCTCTCGTCTTTGATACAAAACATTTCTAAGAGTCCAGGATTTAGCAATTTGAACCAGATACTCTACAAATGACAAAAAACACACAAACACATAATGAGATATAAAATTAAAATTCTGAAACATGTTGGTTTTATACCCATTTTCAATGCTCAAAGCAGGCAGTTTGTTTTTATAACAGGAAAACTGTGGGTCTGACTGTGTCTTGGAAATTCACTTGGATAATGGTATTCTTTAGCCCTTATTGTGTGTTTGGTAAAAATATGCGTCATGACTTTTCTTTGAAAATCTTTCCATGTGTTGTCTCTGCTTTCTTTTCAAACCTTCCCAGAGGGCCCAACCACACAGAGGGTCCACCCCAGCCAGGAGCCACACTCCTGATGTAGACACCAGGAAAAGAAGATTTGAAGAGGCAGGGTGGCTGACAGGGGCTTAGGGTCTCAGCTTTCATTTCATCAACTGGAAAAAAATGACTTTTACATGTAATTTTTGCCAGTTATGAGCATCTAATGAAGATGCTAAGATTATTGTAGCCACAGCAGGTCCCACGAGAGACCACAAGACAAAAGCACATTTTATGTTTAACCTCTAAGACGGCGGCTTCCTGTTTGCTGATTTTTGTCCCACTTTTTTTAATCTTTCAGCTAGGCAGCAATTTATAGCCATAGCTGATTATTACGGAACGCTGCATATATTAGAAATTCCTTGGACATTAAGTCACCCTTCTACCAATGAGGTTAGTAACTTTTGTCTTTAAGGATTTATGTGACCAAATATTTATGAGGCGTATTTTAAAAGTGTGTTCAAAAATGATATTTCTGCTATGTAAAAAAACAAAAGAATTATACAGTCAAAAATAAGGGTATATATTCCTATTGCATGAATTAAATAGTTTGAAGCTAGGGGGAAAAAAAAGTGAAATGGGAGAAAGGCCAAGTAAAGGAAGCCCAGATTCTGAGAGAAGAATTGATTTGGAGATTCATTACCATAAAATACTATCTTCAGGTTAACCAAAGCGTAGAACCTTTATTTCAGACATGCCGTTTCCTGAGGGGCCCTGTTGGTGTTTTTATGCATCTCTCCGTCACCCACTCCTACCCTAACCTCCTCTGTCTGACTTGGGATACAGCCTGCACCTCTGAACTGGCAACATTCTGCCCCTCCATATCCACCACCCAAGTGTTTCAAGCAATGTTAATAATGAGATTATAAAAAGAAGATCAGTGAATAGAAATACATACATATGTGTTGTTGTTATGTTGTTAGGTGCCCTCGAGTTGGTTCCGACTCGTAGTGACCCTATGTACAACAGAATGAAACACAGCCCAGTCCTGCACCATCCTTACAATCATTGCTATGTTTGAGCCCATTGTTGCAGCCACTGTGTCAATCCATCTCTCTGAGGGTCTTCCTCTTTTTTGCCGACCCTCTACCAAGTGTGATGGCTTTTTTCCAGGAATCAGTCCCTCCTGATGACATGTCCAAAGTAAGTGAGATGAAGTTTCACCATCCTCGCTTTTAAGGAACATTCTGGCTGTACTTCTTCCAAAACAAGATTTATTCATCCTTCTGGCAATCCATGGTATACTCAATATTCTTCACCAACACCGTAATTCAAATGTGTCAATTCTTCTTTGGTCTTCCTTATTGACTGACCAGCTTTCACATGCATATAAGGCGATTGAAAATACCATGGCTTGGGTCAGGCACACCTTAGTCCTCAAAATGACTTCTTTGCTTTTTAACACTTTACAGAGGTCTTTTGCAGCAGATTTGCCCAATGCAATACATCATTTGATTTCTTGACTGCTGCCTCCTTGGGCATTGATTGTGGATGCAAGTAAAATAAAATCCTTGACAACTTCAATATTTTCTTGATTTATCATGAACATACACACATGCACATATATGTACCCCCAAAAAAAAATCAAACCTGTTGCTGTCGAGTCGATTTCGGCTCCTAGCGACCCTATAAGACAGAGTAGAACAGCTACACGTGCCTTTTTGTCTTCCTTAACTAAACTCTGTTCGGACTTGCAACAGATTGCAATCTATATATTTGATATTGATTATATATATATATATATATATATATATATGTATGTATGTATGTAATTGAGCCCTGGTGGTGCAATGGTTAAGAGTTATGGCTGCTAACCAAACGGTCAGCAATTCAAATCCACCAGTTGCTCCTTGGAAACCTTATGGGGCAGTTCTACTCTGTCCTGTAGGGTCGCTATGAGTCAGAATCGACTCAACAGCAACGGGTTTGGTTTTTGGTTTTCTCTGGCCCTCCATATCCGCGGGGTCCACATTTGTGGATTCAACTAATCGCGGATCAAAAATATTCAGAAAAAGAAAGTTCCAAAAAGCAAAACTTGAATTTGCCATGCACCGAGCACTACACTGAATCCACGCGAATGAAGTGATATGTAGGCATACCCTGCTGTAGCCTCCCACCATTTCGCAGATCCTCGGTCTCTCTCCAGCACTTGTTGTTTGAGTATTGTTCACCTAGCATCTTGTTCGTTCACTACTTGTGTTGTATTCACCCTTTGCTTAAGGTAAAAAAAAAAAAAAAAAAAAAAACCTAAAAAGCAATGAAGAAATCAAAGCAATACCTCAAACGCTAAGTGTGAGGGGGGTTAGGAGAGCGAGAGGAAGGAGTTTCAGGCTGGTAAGGGACGGCTGGCTAGCTATGGAAAGCACTACAGCCTCAATAACTTCAAGATCCCGGGAGAATCGGCATTGGCTGATGCCCAGACAGCATCATCGTTCCCAGAGGAGCTCAAGAAACTCAGAGAACAGAAAGGTTACCTTCCAGAGCAAGTCTTCAATTGTGATGAAACAACTATTTACATAGTATTTACACTGTATTTGCTATTATAAGTAATCCAGAGATGATAAACTATACAGGAAGATGTGCATAGGTTATATGCAAATACTACCCCATTTTATATAAGAGACTTGAGCATCTGTGAATTTTTGAGTATTTGCGGATACCGAACGCCGACTATACACACACACACACACACACACACATATATATATTTATGCCTATTCCAAAGAAAGGTGATCCAACCAAATGCAGAAATTATCAAACAATATCATTAAAATCACACGCAAGTAAAATTCTGAAGATCATTCAAAAGCAGCTGCAGCAGTATATCGACAGGGAGCTGCCAGAAATTCAAGCTGGATTTAGAAGAGGACATGGAACCAGGGATATCATGGCTGGTGTCAGAGGGATCCTCGCTGAAAGGAGAAAATACCAGAAAGATGTTTATCTGTGTTTTATTGACTATGCAAAGGCATTCGACTGTGTGGATCATAACAAATTATGGATAACACTGAAAGAATGGGAATTCCAGAACACTTAATTGTGCTCATGAAGAACCTGTACATAGACCAAGAGGCAGTCATTCGAATAGAACAAGGGAATACTTCGTGGTTTAAAGTCAGGAAAAGTGTGCATCAGGGTTGTATTCTTTCACCATACTTATTCAATCT